AACGTTGTGACATTCAAAGTTTGCACTGCACACTGGTACAGCTCCATCACATTCATTCTTGTCTTGGCATGTCTCTCCATTGCCAGAGAATCCATTCTTGCAACTGCAAGTAAAATTTCCTGCACTGTTGCTACAGATAGCATCAGAATGGCAGTTGTGAGCGCCAGTTGAGCATTCATCTATGTCCACACAGAACTTTCCTGTTCCGGTATAACCATGTTTACATGCACAAGTAAAACTTCCAACGGTGTCCGTACAGTTGGCATTCTCGTCACACGGTGATTTCAGGCACTCCTCAACATTCACACAACTCTTTCCATTACCCTTGTATCCTGAATTACATGAACAACTGAAGTTACCAATGTTGTTCTGACAAGTGGCATCCGACGAACAGTCGTGAAGACCACGTGCACACTCGTCCACATCTGAACAGCAGGTACCTGGACCTTCGTAACCTGAGTCACATGAGCAATTATGACCTCCCACCGTGTTGGAGCACGTGGCATTAGGATGGCACTCATGGCTGTCCGCCTGACATTCGTTATGATCAATGCAGTTCGTGCCGTCACCTGCGATGCACACACACACACACACGCACGCATGCACACACACACACACACACACACACGCACACACACATGCACACAGACACACAGAAACATACGGAAAGAATTACAGCTTTTTCTATACAGAGTTTGGCATACAAGTGTCATCTCGGTTGGAGAACGAGCTGCCTCTACTATACCCTCGCCACGCCACACATCAAACGGACTAGTCAAGTGGTTTTTCTCTAGAGCTAGAGAGAGAGAGAGCTTTTCATTACTACACCTCAGGATCTGATCGGAGAACTGACAACTGACATGGCAAAAGGAAACATGATATCGGAAATTGGTGCCCTCATCAGCACAAAATATGGTGTACTCGATATCATATCAGCACAAAAAGGTGTACGTGTCAGCAATACAACAAAGCAGCGTAGCAGCATGGACGGGTCAGCAGCGCAGAGACACAAAATACAGCAGGCTGATACAGGATCAGCATGTGGAACAGTGTGTGACTCCTCGCCCGGCAGAGAAGTCGCCAGCGACACAACTGCGATGCACAATAGCTACCACCAGAATGGACCAACGGACAATGACGATAATGAGAAGGACTCAGCGATACTCCGTCACCTGACATCGTCACCAGCATGCCTAAGTGCAGTCTGCAAACATGGCACCCACTCTCACTTCACCATTCAAGCGCGTGCGCGCAACAAATCTCACCTTGCTGTGCTGGAGGCAGTGTACATTGCCAAGCTGAAGCCTGAACTGTGCGTGCAAAATAAGTATGTGCGAAAGTTGTCTCTGTTTTGACATTGTAATACCGTGGTCCCCACTGTTGTCTAATACTGGTAATATTCATTGTCTCACTGTGTACTTGGCGCCACTAGCACTATCTTTTAAAGTGATATTTGGTCTATACTCTGACCGCCAAATATGCTGTTGGCGCCACTAGCTCTATTTTTCAAGTGCTATTTTTGTCAATGCCCTGCCCGCCAAAAGTTATAAGGACTTGTTTACTACCTTGTTAATCACCATTATATTCGACCTGAAGATTAATGGCATGAAAGGCCTAGTCGAAAAAATTATATGGCTTCTGTGCTTCGTGTGCTGATTTGCTTTCCTCCCACCAAAAATCTATACAAATACAGACGAGGCTGTACACTTCCGTCCAAATGCGTTCAATCCTCCCAGAGGCTCCGTGGGGAAGGCCTTCATCCTGCAACTGAGTCGTTACCTCGCCTGCTTCGGAAACGCGGCGACTTTTGAAGGCATAGCCCTGAAAGTAGCGATGGTCTTCCAACAGCTAATGCTACAGAATCCCCATGCCCAGGATTCCCACTCGCTGTCTGCTGTGCTGAGACGACGACTCGACACGTGGAATCAAGGGGACATCCAGAATCTCCGCCACGAGAGTCGCACTATCCAGGATCAGCTAACGGACCGCAACAAGAATTCGTCACATGCCAATCAAGATGGAAACTTGGCACGGCATTTTGCGTCCCAAGTAACAAGCGGGAGGATGGCATCTGCACTGCGGGACCTCGAGGGCCCACCGACAAAGGGCCACCTGAACCTGGACGACAAGATCGATGATACAACCGTCCGGGAAGCTTTGAAGGCCAAACATCCAGAGAACGCCCCCTCGCCCCAGGGGCACTTCTGCAAGGCGAAATTCCGGCACCACCTCACCCAATGCGGTTTGACGCTCTCACGCGTGAAGCCTTGAGGAAGGCGGTATTGAACACCCATGGTGCCGCTGGACCATCCGGCGTTGACGCTGAGAACTGGCGCTGGATGTGCACAAGCTTTGCTGATACATCCGATTCTCTGTGCGACTCACTAGCTCTGTGTGCACGTCGCCTAGCAACGACATTCGTTGATCCGAATGCCCTAGAGGCCTACCTAGCCTCGAGGCTAATCCCTCTCGACAAACACCCGGGCGTGAGGCCGATCGGCATAGGCGAGGTGCTTCGTCGTGTAGGGGGGAAGGCGATTCTTCACGTCATCAGCGCAGACATCCAGGAAGCTGCTGGTGGTTTGCAGCTGTGTGCCGGGCAGGATTTCGGTATTGAGGCCGCAATTCACGCTATGCATGATGTGTACGACCAGGAGGACACCCAGGGCATCATCATGGCTGATGCAACTAATGCGTTCAACAACCTCAATCGCGCCGCCTGCCTACGGAATGTGCAGCAGCTATGCCCCTCGTTTGCCGCGGTTGTAATCAACACCTACCGTCAGCCCAGCAATCTCTACGTGGATGGTGAATGTATTCATTCCAATGAGGGCACAACACAGGGCGACCCCATTGCGATGCCGTTATATGCGATCGGCGTAGTCCCTCTCATCCGGGAGATCGTAACACCCGGCGCCTGCCAGCTATGGTATGCGGACGATTCGTCCGCAGGTGGCCGACTCGTTCCTCTCCGAACCTGGTGGGACAAACTGCACGGCAGAGGGCCTGATTTCGGATACTTCCTCAACCCAGCAAAGTCCGTGCTCGTGGTGAAGCCTGACGACTACGTTGAAGCTGTCCAGCTGTTCGACGGCACAGGCATCCACATCACCGCCACAGGCAACCGCTACCTGGGTTCAGCCATAGGCACACCTGCGTTTGTCAAAGACTACGTACACGAGAAAGCCCGGAACTGGTGTGGGCAGGTCAAATCACTGACATCAACCGCCCTGCCTCAGCCACAAGCAGCCTATTCTGCTTTCACCCGAGGCCTCTCCAGCCGCTGGTCTTTCCTCTGCCGGGTACTCGAAAGTGCGTCTGCTGGTCTTGCTTCACTGGAGCGGGTCATTGCCACGAAACTCCTCCCAGCTCTCACAGGCCAGGAAATCAGCTCTGAGCTCCGCACCCTTTTCTCCTTCCCCTGCCGGAACGGTGGTCTAGGAATATTGGATCCCACCTCTCTGTCGGCCCAATACCAATCCTCACGTGCCATCACTGCTCCTATGGTTGCCAACATCCTCACCCAGAGTTTCAACCTGGGCGACTCTTTGGCAGAGGTCGCCAGCCTGAAGGCCTCTAACCGCAAGGATGTGAAGGCAGCTGCCACGGAAGCCCTTCGCCAATTCACCGCCCGAGCCTCCTCTGCCCTCCAGCACTCCATCAACCTTGGCAGTGAGGCGGGTGCGTCCAGCTGGCTCAAGTGTCGCCCCCTCGGTCGGCATGGGTTCAGCTTGTCAAAATGTGAATTTCGCGATGGTCTGGCATTGCGGTATGGCTTGCACCCTGCACGGCTCCCTTCTACTTGTGTCTGTGGTGCCACCATCTCTGTTGAGCATGCTCTCTCTTGCCCCACTGGTGGTTTCCCGACGCTTCGCCACAATGAGGTACGGGACATCATCGCTGGCCAACTGAAGAAGGTGGCATACAGCGTAGAAGTAGAGCCTCATCTCCAACCCCTCACCGTCGAGCTTGTCCGCTACCGGACGGCGTCCACCGAGGATCAAGCCCGTCTGGATGTGGCGGCGAGTGGCGTGTGGGGAGGACGGTTTGAACGCGTTTATCTTGATGTACGGGTGTTTAACCCTTTCGCTCCTTCAAACCGTTCCTCTTCTCTCGCTGCTCGCTACCAGAGCCATGAGCGAGAGAAGCGTCGCAGGTATGGTCAGAGGGTGCAAGAAGTTGAGCGAGCCTCCTTCGTACCTGTCGTATTCTCAGCCATAGGTGGAGCCGGTCGAGCTGCTTCCGCTCTTCTCAAGCGAATTGCTGCTCTGTCTGCAGAGAAATCCGGAGAGCCAAAAGCAATGGTGATGGCGTTGCTGCGTTGTCGTCTTGGTTTTGGTCTCCTGCGTACCAGTGTTGCCTGCCTTCGTGGTGCCCGGCGGATGCGCCGCGTCAATGATCAGTCTGCTGTCCTCGCAAACGCGGAGGCTGCATTGATTTAACTTTCTTTGCAACTCCTGCAGTCTAGGTACTGAGTATCATTGTTATCTTGTGTGTGTGTGTGTGTATGCGTGAGTCAACAGCTTTGATAAAGTTATTGTGTTTACCCCTCTTGTTTTCTCATCATTGTGTTGATTTTAATTTTTAATCTTGCCCGTAAAAGAGGCTGTTGATAAGACAAAAAAAAAAAAAAAAAAACTGTACCACTATACTACTGTACTACTGTACTACTGTACTACTGTACTACTGTACTACTGTACTACTGTACTACTATACTACTGTACTACTGTACTACTATACTACTGTACTATTGTACTGTCTGCCATTCACTTCCACACTAGCAAAACATTCATGTACATGTACATGTCATACCATGGCATGCATGGACATGTACAGTAGCAGATCTACATGTACACTGAAACTATGCGATAAGACTTTCAAATACAGTGGGGGGGAGGTGGGGGGGGGGGGGGGAGTCTATTCGAAATGCGTTACGTTTACAAAAAAAGTGCGAACTTATGAGATGCTCCCTAATGGTGCTGTACTAGCCAAACCTACAGCTAAATGACCTTACCATTGTATCCTTGATGACAGACGCACACAAAGCTTCCTTCAGTGTTTGAGCACGTTGAATGAGCATGACAATTGGTAGTGTAAGAACTATTAGTACATTCATCGATATCCACGCAAGATATTCCATCCTTCAAGTAGCCAGTACTGCAATTACAACGGAAAGAACCAGGAACGTTGTGACATTCAGAGTTTACACTGCACACTGGTACAGCTCCATCACATTCATTCTTGTCTTGGCATGTCTCTCCATTGCCAGAGAAACCATTCTTGCAACTGCAAGTAAAGTTTCCTGCACTGTTGCTACAGATAGCATCAGAATGGCAGTTGTGAGCGCCAGTTGAGCATTCATCTATGTCCACACAGAACTTTCCTGTTCCGGTATAACCATGTTTACATGCACAAGTAAAACTTCCAACGGTGTCCGTACAGTTGGCATTCTCGTCACACGGTGATTTCAGGCACTCCTCAACATTCACACAACTTTTTCCATTACCCCTGTATCCTGAATTACATGAACAACTGAAACTACCAATGTGGTTCCGACAAGTGGCATCCGACGAACAGTCATGGAGATCATGTGCACACTCGTCCACATCTGAACAGTAGGTACCTGGACCTTCATAACCTGGGTCACATGAGCAATTATGACCTCCCACCGTGTTGGAGCACATTGCGTTGTCATGGCAATCATGGCCGCCATTCTGACATTCGTTGTGATCAATGCAGTTCGTGCCGTTTCCTAAAGTGTACAAAAACATGAGCACATGACCAACAACCCAGTTTCATGTAAATGAATTGTCCTAAAATGTGGAAATGGCGACGGTCTGTGCATAGGTCACAATGATTCGACCTTGCTGCATTTTACACTGCCTTTTCGACAATTCAGGGGGGGGGGGGTGGGGAGGGGTTACACCGGATGTGGGTCCCAACCCATGTGCACCCCCTAACAATTTCGACCTAGGTTCAGCTTGCTTATAATGACGTTTTCTACGTTTCGTAGAAAAAATGAGGGAGTGGCTTACACTTTGGAAAAAACGGTACCCCCACATGAACCATATCCGGACTTCCAAGTTTGGGGCCGTCTCGGTCTGCCTGGCACCCTGTCGAGGAGTCTTACTGGAACTATAATTACTATTCGTTTGTCAATTCTTGCAGGAATAGCGACGTCATTTGCCAGGTCCCTGCCGCTTTCCCACTGAGACGCATGCGATTCAGAGTTACTGGCGCTGCAAAGTGCAAATGTATAGGCAGTGGCCGGTCTTGGATTGCCCCAAATAAGAGAGATATGAGTGCAGCTAGCGGCTATCTGGCATATCGATAATTTTCACGAAACGAAAAAGTTTAGTTAGGATCCCCCCACCCAAAAAAAAAGATTGACTTGACAGGAAGAATGCCTTGATGTCTCTCATATCAATATTTCCAAAACGCAACTCCTCTTGGCTCACCCACCCATAGACAAAACTTATGCTCTTCGTTTATAAGATGGATAGCTATGCCCCTTAGAGTACCAAACAAGTCCTAAGTCAAATAGCTTTACCATTGTGTCCTTGATGACAGACGCACACGTAGCTTCCTTTGGTGTTTGAACACGTTGAATGAGCATGACAGTTGGTAGTGTAAGAAGTATTAGTACATTCATCGATATCCACGCAAGATATTCCATCCTTCAAGTAGCCAGTACTGCAATTACAACGGAAAGAACCAGGAACGTCGTGACATTCAGAGTTTACACTGCACACTGGTACAGCTCCATCACATTCATTCTTGTCTTGGCATGTCTCTCCATTGCCAGAGTAACCATTCTTGCAACTGCAAGTAAAGTTTCCTGCACTATTGCTACAGATAGCATCAGAATGGCAGTTGTGAGCGCCAGTTGAGCATTCATCTATGTCCACACAGAACTTTCCTGTTCCGGTATAAAAATGTTTACATAAACAAGTAAAACTTCCAACGGTGTCCGTACAGTTGGCATTAACGTCACACGGTGATTTCAGGCACTCCTCAACATTCACACATCTCTTTCCATTACCCTTGTATCCTGAATTACATGAACAACTGAAGTTACCAATGTTGTTCTGACAAGTGCCATCCGACGAACAGTCGTGAAGATCACCTGCACACTCGTCCACATCTGAACAGTAGGTACCTGGACCTTCATAACCTGGGTCACATGAGCAATTATGACCTCCCACCGTGTTGGAGCACATCGCGTTGTCATGGCAATCATGGCCGCCATTCTGACATTCGTTGTGATCAATGCAGTTCGTGCCGTTACCTGAAGTGTACAAAAACACGAGCACATATTACCAGCACCCAGCTTCATGTTATTGAATTGTCTTAAAATGTGCAAATGGCAACGGTCAGTGCACAGGTCAATATGATTCTACCTTGCTGCATTTTAAACAGACTTTTCGACAATTTAGGGGGGGGGGTGATGCACCGGATGCGGGTCCCACCCCATGTGCACCCCCTAACAATTTCGACCTAGGTTCAACATGCTCATAATGATATTTTCTACGTTTTCGTAGAAAAAATGAGGGAGTGGCTTACACTTTGGAAAAAACGGTACCCCCATATGAACCGTATCCGGACTTCCAAATTGCGGCCGTCTAGGTCTGCCTGGCACCCTGTCGAGGAGTCTTTCTGGAACAATAATTACTAATCGTTTGTCAATTCTTGCGGGAACAGCGACGTCATTTGCCAGGTCCCTGCCGCTTTTCCACTGAGACGCATGCGATTCAGAGTTACTGGCGCTGCAAAGTGCAAATGTACAGGCAGTGCCCGGTCTTGGATTGCCCCAAATAAGACAGATATGAGTGCAGCTAGCGGCTATCTGGCATATCGATAATTTTCACGAAACGAAAAAGTTTAGTTAGGATCCTCCCCCACCCAAAAAAAAGATTGACTTGACAGGAAGAATGCCTTGATGTCTCTCATATCAATATTTCCAAAACGAAACTCCCCTTGGCTCACCCACCCATAGACGAAACTTATGCTCTTCGTTTAAAAGATGGATAGCTACGCCCCTTAGAGTACCAAAAAGTCCTTAGCTAAAAAGCTTTACCATTGTGTCCTTGATGACAGAGGCACACATAGCTTCCTTTGGTGTTTGAGCACGTTGAATGAGCATGACAGTTGGTAGTGTAAGAACTATTAGTACATTCATCGATATCCACACAAGATACTCCATCCTTCAAGTAGCCAGTACTGCAATTACAACGGAAAGAACCAGGAACGTTGTGACATTCAGAGTTTACACTGCACACTGGTACAGCTCCACCACATTCATTCTTGTCTTGGCATGTCTCTCCATTGCCAGAGAAACCATTCTTGCAACTGCAAGTATAGTTTCCTGCAATGTTGCTACAGATAGCGTCAGAATGGCAGTTGTGAGCGCCAGTTGAGCATTCATCCATGTCCACACAGAACTTTCCTGTTCCGGTATAACCATGTTTACATGCACAAGTAAAACCTCCAACGGTGTCCGTACAGTTGGCATTCTCGTCACACGGTGATTTCAGGCACTCCTCAACATTCACACAACTCTTTCCATTACCCCTGTATCCTGAATTACATGAACAACTGAAGTTACCAATGTTGTTCTGACAAGTGGCGTCCGACGAACAGTCGTGAAGATCACGTGCACACTCGTCCACATCTGAACAGTAGGTACCTGGACCTTCATAACCTGGGTCACATGAGCAATTATGACCTCCCACTGTGTTGGAGCACATGGCGTTGTCATGGCAATCATGGCCGCCATTCTGACATTCGTTGTGATCAATGCAGTTCGTGCCGTTACCTGAAGAGTACAAAAACATGAGCACATATGACCAGCACCCAGTTTCATGTTATTGAATTGTCTTAAAAAGTGCAAATTGCGACGGTCTGTGCATACGTCACAATGATTCGACCTTGTTGCATTTTACACTGACTTTTCGACAATTCAGGGGGGGGGGGGGGGTTACACCGGATGCGGGTCCCAACCGTGTGCACCCCCTAACATTTTTGACCTAGGTTCAGCATGCTCATAATGACGTTTTATACCTTTTCGTAGAAAACATGAGGGAGTGGCTTGCACTCTGGAAAAAAATGGTACCCCCATATGAACCGTATCCGGACTTCCAAGTTGCGGGCGTCTCGGTCTATCTGGCACCCTGTCGAGGAGTCTTACTGGAACAATAATTACTATTCGTTTGTCAATTCTTGCCGGAATAGCGACGTCATTTGCCAGGTCTCTGCCGCTTTCCCGCTGAGACGCATGTGATTCAGAGTTATTGGTGCTGCAAAGTGCGAATTTATAGGCAGTGCCCGGTCTTGGATTGCCCCAAATAAGACAGATATGAGTGCAGCTAGCGGCTATCCGGCATATCGATAATTTTCACGAAACGAAGAAGTTTAGTTAGGATCCTCCCCACCCAAGAAATAGATTGACTTGACAGCAAGAATACCTTGATGTCTCTCATATCAATATTTCCAAAAGGCAACTCCCCTTGGCTCACCCACCCATAGACTAAACTTATGCTCTTCGTTTAAAAGGGTGGATAGCTATGCCCCTTAGAGTACCAAACAAGTCCTAAGTCAAATAGCTTTACCATTGTGTCCTTGATGACAGATGCACACATAGCTTCCTTTGGTGTTTGAGCACGTTGAATGAGCATGACAGTTGGTAGTGTAAGAAGTATTAGTACATTCATCGATATCCACGCAAGATATTCCATCCTTCAAGTAGCCAGTACTGCAATTACAACGGAAAGAACCAGGAAGGTCGTGACATTCAGAGTTTACACTGCACACTGGTACAGCTCCATCACATTCATTCTTGTCTTGGCATGTCTCTCCATTGCCAGAGAAACCATTCTTGCAACTGCAAGTAAAGTTTCCTGCACTATTGCTACAGATAGCATCAGAATGGCAGTTGTGAGCGCCAGTTGAGCATTCATCTATGTCCACACAGAACTTCCCTGTTCCGGTATAACCATGTTTACATGCACAAGTAAAACTTCCAACGGTGTCCATACAGATGGCATTCTCGTCACACGGTGATTTCAGGCACTCCTCAACATTCACACAACTCTTTCCATTACCCTTGTATCCTGAATTACATGAACAACTGAAGTTACCAATGTTGTTCAGACAAGTGGCATCCGACGAACAGTCATGGAGATCACGTGCACACTCGTCCACATCTGAACAGTATGTACCTGGACCTTCATAACCTGGGTCACATGAGCAATTATGACCTCCCACCGTGTTGGAGCACATCGCGTTGTCATGGCAATCATGGCCGCCATTCTGACATTCGTTGTGATCAATGCAGTTCGTGCCGTTACCTGAAGTGTACAAAACATGAGCACATATGACCAGCACCCAGTTTTATGTTATTGAATTGTCTTAAAATGTGCATATGGCGACGGTCTGTGCATAGGTCAATATGATTCGACCTTGCTGCATTTTAAACTGACTTTTCGACAATTCAGGGGTGGGGGGGGGGAGCGTGATGCACCTGATGCGGATCCCAACCCATGTGCACCCCCTTACAATTTCGACCCAGGTTCAGCATGCTCATAATGACCATGAATGACATGCACCAGCCGTCCTACACATATGCGGTCGTGCACCTCCCATCAAGAGTACATAACCCCCCAAGAGTGTGCAACTCCACTACGGGTGCTGTCGCGACAGAATTTCAAGTTGACGTCATTTTGATGATGCAATGCGCACTGTACACGGATTATCAGACGAATCCGGAACCTGTGGTTGAGCGAAGCCGATCGATCCTGTACAAATTATTACAAAGAAAAACGTGTGATGCGTTGACACCCGTACACATGTTGTAAATCACTGTTGCAAGGAGCATTGGGTCATAAATAATGACGTCAACTTGAAATTCTGTCGGGACAGCAGGGTATGTGGGAGTTGCACACTCTGGGGGGTTATGTACTCTTGCTCCTATTTAGGAAGCCCGTGGATTTATAGCTGAGACTGGCTATATAGTCGAATATCTCTCCATGCCTTTAAAGGTCCGGATATACCGTAAACGGCCTTGCACTTTCCTCAAAGGGGGACCAGGGGATATACCGTAAGCGGCCTTGCACCTTCCTAAAAGGGGGACCAGCGGATATACTCTAAGCGGCCTTGCACATTCCTAAAAGGGGTGACCAGCGAATATATCGTAAGCGGCCTTGCACCTTCCTTAAAAGGGGGACCGGCTACGCCCCTGAATGCAACAAGATGGCGCCAGACTAAACAGCATTTCCCTAATAGCGTTGTCACACGACGGTTCGTGCTCACGATTTCACGATACCATGGTTCTACGATCCACGGCAAGACACTTCACACGACGACTAGCTCTGCCGACACGGTGCACGCGAGTCAGTCACGATTTGACTGTTGCCTAGGTAATTGTAATGGAGGCGCGTGTTTTGATGGAAATAAATCTGAATATTTTTTTATTTTCATGCCTCCCGGGAAAATTCAAACACTCTTTGCTTGATGTTGGAGTAGAACAAGACTGAACAGACGACTTTGTTGCTTTGGCGTTCTTGACTGGATTTCTGGGACCATGGATTTGACAAATCCGCGTAGCTTTGCTTTATTTTTGCTGTTTGTTTTCCGTGGTCTTGGACAACTGGGTCCGGACAGGGCAATCGGCTCACAACCTACAGGGTTTGGAGTGCCTCGTCCGATTTCCCAAATCCCTTTTGGCCGTTTCATGTTGAGAAAAAGGCGTCAACGTTCCTATTTCAGCTCAGGTCTTGCGTCGACAAGTGCCCATTCACGTGGAGCGTGTAGAGATCGAACACATTTAGCACAGTTCTCTTGGATAACGACCTGCTATTTGCTGCTCGATCATGAGTTCCCCAGGAAGAGGAGGTTTTGGTCTGCTCATTGCCAGCAGCTTGGCAAATGGGAAGCAGAAGTTCTGGGAACGTGGACAGAATTTGGAGCTCGTTTTTCTGACTACGAGAATATGAAGTACATGGAGTCTTTCCGTGTTGATAAATTAACATTTACGCAACTGTACCGTATCGTGGGTGTTCACCTTGTCCGACAAGACACTGACATGAGAAGAAGTATCCCTGGAAGGAAGAGAATGGCTATGTTTTTGGAGTGGATGGCACATTCCAAAACTATGGAGCAGATTGCGACATCCTACGGCATCGGTACGTCTACAGTATCTGGAATCATTCAGGACGCTCTCGCCGCGTTCCGAGCCCTACTGCCTGTAGTGTGCCAGTTCCCGACAGAAGAAGAACTTCGTCAAACCATGGCAGATTTCGAGCACTTGTGTCATATGCCAGGCTGTGGTGGTGCGTTGGACGGAACGTTTATGAAGATCCTGAAGCCAGTACGGCATGGCGATTCATATTATTGCTACAAGCAGTACCCAGCCATTGTCGTTTTGCTTTGCGTGGATGCCAGGGGCATTATAACGTACATCAATGCTGGGCGACCCGGGTCAATGGGCGATGCCTACACGTGGAACACATCATCCCTGCTCCGGGAGATATCGAACGGTGCTCTCTTGCCCGAAGCAGCTTCCGTGGGTGTCGGAAACAATCAGGTCCGGCCGTATATTGTAGCGGATGCAGCGTTTGCATTGTCAGAGACACTGCTGAAATGCTATGACACAAATCAAGGCACACCTGAGCAGCGGAGCTTCAATTTTGCTGTGATCAGAACACGCCGTGTTGTGGAGAATGCAATAGGTCGTCTCAAGGGTAGGTGGAGTATTCTCACTCACAATTTCATCCGCGATCCTTCCCTAGCCACTGAGGTCGCCCTTGTTGCTGCAGCTCTTCACAATGTGTGTGAACGATGCAGTTGCCCCTTTGAGGATAGTTGGATTCCCCAGTCGGCACTTCAGGATCGTGTAGTACCTCCAGTAGATAATAACCAGGATAGATTTGCTCAGCCTGCGGACGACGTTCGTCGTATACTCTCCGAGTACGTGCACCAATTTGTTCAAGCAGAGTGAACGTTGTGGTGCTGGCAGACACAACCAGATGCACTTGTTGTGTCTGGCAGAACCGCATGCGATGCACAGAGAAGCAAACCAGAAATGGTAACATCAGAACACATCAAGAGCATTTCGTGAAAACGAGAGGCAAAGTATCTTTAGTGCATGTTACATGGACGAAGTGAAAAGAACGAACGAAGAGGGAGTGGGATTTCTCAACGGTTCTGTACTACAAGTAATTGAAGTACCACACAGGGAAGAGCTCTTCACAGTCAATCTTTCAGGGATTTGACAATCTCCGCCATAAATTTCATGCTCGTCAGCTGCAAAGATTGCGTATGAGCACTGCTTTGCTCCTGCATTTGCTGCAGAAGATGAGCATCTGTTTTCTGAGAATCCTTCGCAAACGTCAGCCGTCTCTCCTCCAGTGCTTCCTCATTAGTCTTTCGCTGTTCCTCAATCTCCGCTTCCACTTTCCTCCTCTCGGCATCTCGCTTATTCTCATGCTCCATCCACTGTTGCTGCATCTTCTCATCGTGCTCGAACTGTGCAGCCTGCATGTCCTTCTGCATCCTTTCCAGCGATGGCAGGATTTCTGCGTTGGCTTGACCTCGGCCAGCTCTTGGCCTCTTGCGAGGCAAGATTGCAGTTCGAGATGAAACTGGCGTGGCAGTTGCACCACTCACCGGCCCAGCAGTCCTTGCCGACACAGCGTCTTCCACACTGCTCTCATCGCCAGAAGAAGTCGGCAGAAGACCCGTCTCATCAACATCGCCACTCAGCTGCATCGTTCGTCCAAGGCGTGCAGATGTCACCAATGGAGGCAACACAGCAGACCGTGCTGGTTGGGGTGCAGGAGGCTGTGTGCTAGTGGCACAAGCGCTGGCAGCATTCGAAGCAGCAGTTGCTGTAGCTAATGGATGCGTGGGGGTTGTGGGGATCGGTACGTGTTCCCCCGGCAAGACAGACTGGCGATCAGTGGACGTGTCAATGGAAATTGTGAGGCTGTCTTGGCATTCACCTGGACCCCACTGCGGGTTCTGGAAAAATAGGCGATGGTACAGCTGAAAATTGGGCCATGCAGCAGTTGCCGCTAGAATATCGTAATTGCTTGCATCAAGACTTGTCCCTGGAATGAGGCACAACAAATGCATATGAGATGGAATCAAAGGGCAAGTACGGCTTATTATCCCTAAATATTGCATTCTGAATTGGAACAAATCACAATATATCTATTATCCAATTTGGTGTACGACGTTGTGTAAGCATGATGTAGGACAAACAATTCAGTAACATAGTATGATGCACAAACATGCCAGCAATAAATCACTTGCTTTCCTTTGCCCTGATTTTGTGAATTTACCATGACGCCTGCTGTATTTTGTTTTCAAGGGCCTTCCACAAAGTCGAAATGGCACCTGTGCATTTGTGTGTATGACCATGCATAGGTTATGACCTATGTCCACCGTATGTGTTGCTATGTTTGACATAGCTTGTTCGAGTATGTATGAGTATGTGCTATAAATATACATACGAGCTTGCAATAAATTTAGACCGTGTGAACTCACGCACCTGTTGCAGATGGAAGACGATGCGACTTATACATCTCCCTGCCCTTTTTCTTCAGACTGTCCACCTTGTTGTGCACCTCCTTGGTTGTAAATTGCTTCGTTGAGCCCACGGACAACATCCTTTCGTTCAGCCGTTTGGTTGCTTTGTCTTCTTTCGCTGCTCGCGTCATCATCACTTTATCAGTCGATTCAAGTAGGGAGCAGTAGATTTCGATAAGCATCCTTTCGGATTCTGGGCTGAATGTCCGGGTGGCCATTGTTCAGAAAGTCGGACCTGTGCTGCTGTTCAGGAAACGCTCAGTGAGAAGACGCGATCGCGAACACAAGCCAAACCAGTACGGGAAACACGAAATCGAAAACGAAAACGCACAGCCAGGGGGTCAGGGTGTCGCGGGCAGACCGTCGGGTCTGCGGATTCAGATTTCCCGCCATTTGATGATCGCCTTGGTGATCCGCCCGCGAGCCCGAGCAGACGTGACTTTGTCCCGTCGTGTGAAAGGCCTATAAGGCCTCGGTCACACTACGGCAAGTTTGAAGGTGGACGCAGCGTCAAGCCGCCGTACTTGGTATGGTATTGGTATGGTATTGATTTATTTGAATTCGGTATCTCAACAGTACATTGTACAACTTGGGAAGATCCGAATGACATAGATACATAAACATAAAAGTGGAGTAGGTGCTACAGCGGATCATTTTTTCGCAGATTGTGGGACTAAACTAATACCAGTATGCAAGTACACAAGAAATAAAAGCTGAATAATTACGACTGCATGACATTGGAGAAAAGCGCCAATTAGAGCGAAACAAAGCGACACATCACTCATCAAAAACATTTTCAAAAGGAGCTGTTTTAACCAGGTACACTTGACGCAGACGCAGGGTCACACAGTGTTTTTTTTTGCAGCTCATGACTGCCGCGACCTGACGCATTTGTCTACGTCACAAAATCACCAGGGAAACTCAATGACGACACGGATTCCCGCGGAAACCGGCCTTTTGCTTATTATACAAAAAATTTGCAGGACAAAGTTTTCAAATTTTTCATTGATTTTTGATTACAAGAAGACGAAAGGTCCACGCGTGCACGATCGCTGTTGTTTCTTTCCGAATTGGAAGCCATTTTCAGTTGTAGTGTCATGGATCAAGCAAGAAAAGTCCGCATCGCAGCTGTGTTTCTCCTGACTTCGTCATACTGATTGTCCTTTTTGGGGCTCTTGACAACAACACAACACTCACAAGTCAACAGGCTCCTGTTGGCCGATGACCCACTCGAACAACTGGTCCTTTCTCGACATCATTTTCTTCTCAGAAAACGCCTCGCTCTTCCTCCAGGTTCGGAGCAGAGCAGCCTCAGCCTCGTAGGTCCACAGACTCATCTCGAAAAAAAAAGAGGGAACAAAACAAACATTGAAGAGGCGAATGACGAATGACTGCTCAACTCAAGCACTGTCTTGAAACTAAGTGTACTTGAAAGACACTGTTTTTCCGCCAAGCATCACTCCCATCAGCGGCAACGCAGCCGATTTCCCCACGTCAGACCCAGCAGCGTCTGATGCTCAAACTCAAACTTCCCGCGGTTGCGTCAGTTGCCATGGAAAAGATCATGATTATGACGCTGACGCACCATTTTTGCCGTAGTGTGACCGAGGCCTAAGCGTCTGGTTTTCAATGGTGCCCGTTTATAGTATGGCGCCAGGCCTACAATTCAACACATCAAGAACATAAGAACCGCACCAGGCAGAACACATTCACGATTCCCGTGAGACTCGGCTTGAGGTAGAGTGTTTCCGCATCCGCTGTAATGCCACCACGATCGAGGATGAAAGATCAAGGATCACCTTACAGAAGATACCGTCTAAGCCGCACTTTGCACACTCAGTTTTCACCGCCCCAAAGGGGGGGGGGGGAGGGTGTGGCTTTTACTCCGCTGATCAAATTAAAGGGGATAAATAGGGTAGATGTCTGTTGTTCGTAGAAAAAATGAGGGAGCGGCTTACACTCCGGAAAAAACGGTACCACCATATGAACCGTTTCCGGACTTCCAAATTGCGGCCGTCTCGGTCTGCAAGGCACCCTGTCGAGGAGTCATACTGGAACAATAATTTCTATTCGTTTGTCAATTCTTGCGGGAATAGCGACGTCTATTGCAAGGTCCCTGCCCCTTTCCCAGTGAGACGCATGCGATTCAGAGTTATTGGCGCTGCAAAGTGCGAATGTATAGGCAGTGCCCGGTCTTGGATTGCCCCAAATAAGAGAGATAGGAGTGCAGCTAGCGGCTATCCGGCATATCGATAATTTTCAGGAAACGAAAAAGCTTAGTTAGGATTCTCCCCCACCCAAAAAAAGATTGACTTGACAGCAAGAATGCCTTGATGTCTCTCATATCAATATTTCCAAAACGAAACTCCCCTTGGCTCACCCACTCATAGACGAAACTTATGCTCTTCGTTTAAAAGATGGATAGCTACGCCCCTTAGAGTACCAAAAAGTCCTTAGCTAAAAAGCTTTACCATTGTGTCCTTGGTGACAGACGCACACATAGCTTCCTTTGGTGTTTGAGCATGTTGAATGAGCATGACAGTTGGTAGTGTAAGAACTATTAGTACATTCATCGATATCCACGCAAGATACTCCATCCTTCAAGTAGCCAGTACTGCAATTACAACGGAAAGAACCAGGAACGTTGTCACATTCAGAGTTTACACTGCACACTGGTACAGCTCCACCACATTCATCCTTGTCTTGGCATGTCTCTCCATTGCCAGAGAAACCATTCTTGCAACTGCAAGTAAAGTTTCCTGCACTGTTGCTACAGATAGCGTCAGAATGGCAGTTGTGAGCGCCAGTTGAGCATTCATCTATTTCAGTACACTGCTGTCCATCTCCACTGTAACCAGTTTTGCAACTGCAATCAAACTTTCCCTCACTGTTCGTGCAGATTGCATCAGCATGGCAAGAGGTTGTCACCAAACACTCGTCCACATCAGAACATGACGAAATCCCGTCACCTGAGAAACCACTATCGCACTTGCATGTATACGAACCGACATTATCTGTGCAGCTAGAGTTCGAGGTGCAGGTTGATGAATTGGAACATTCATGGATGTTTGTGCAGTTTATGCCATCGCCGTGAAAACCACTATTACACGTACAATTGTAGAAACCCTTTTTGTTTGAACATGTTGCATCACTGTGACACATGTTGTCCTTGGAACTCGAACATTCATCTATGTCCACACAGAACTTTCCTGTTCCGGTATAACCATGTTTACATGCACAAGTAAAACTTCCAACGGTGTCCGTACACTTGGCATTCTCGTCACACGGTGATTTCAGGCACTCCTCAACATTCACACAACTCTTTCCATTACCCTTGTATCCTGAGTTACATGAACAACTGAAGTTACCAATGTTGTTCTGACAAGTGGCATCCGACGAACAGTCGTG